GTGTGTGCAAACCTGGTAAAGACCTATAGTAATCGTTTGACCTCTGTTATTGCCAACAAAGGTTATGTTACAACGTATTGAGTTGAATTTTTGTTATTGACCAAATCCTTATTTTCCACCCTGATTTACAAATAAATTCTTTAAAAATCCTGCCATGTGAATTCATGGATTTTTTTTCACATTCTGTCTCTCACAGTTGAAGTGTACCTATGATGAAAATTACTGACCTCTGTCATCATTTTAAGTGGGAGAACTTGCACAATCGGTGGCTGACTAAATACTTTTTTGCCCCACTGTATATATATGTATATATATATATATATATATAATGTGTATTTATATATATGTGTATATATATTATGTGTGTATATATATATGTGTATATATATATATATATATATATATATATATGTTTATGTTTATGTGCTTAGCAGACGCTTTACCCAAAGCGACTTACAATTTTTTTTTAACCTATAGGGCATGTTGTGATCTGTGGGGGAAACCGGAGTACCCGGAGGAAACCCACGCATGCATGGGGAGAACACACAACTCCACACAGAAAGGCCACAGCCGAGTTTCGAACCTGCGACCTTCGTGCTGCGAGGCAACAGTGCTAACCACTGCGTCACCATGCAGCCCATATATATATATATATATATATATATATATATATATATATATATATATATACATATACACACATATATATGTGTGTTAATGTATAGAAACCCAGCAGACTGCACAGAATCCCTGACTTGTTGTGTCCGAGACTTTACAGCAATCCCCAATACCAAGCAAGCGTGTAGCGACAGTGGAGAGGAAAGCCAGTTGTCTGTTTTTGTGTAGCCCTGTGATCGACTGGCGTCCTGTCCTAGTTGTACCTCGCATCTCCCTCACGGATCATTGTTATTGCCATCATTGTTGCTTTTGTGTGCAACTAACATCAGTAGAGACATATGAAATTGTTTGCATGTGTAGCGTAGTAAATCTACATAACTAGAATTTAACGCTGTGCTATTCAGCTTTGTTAGATTCTGAAAAAGATCAAACAAATTAGCATATGAAACTTATATCATGTATAGATATCCACGGATATTTATATAATCGATAGAAGTTCATACACCAACTGGCTTGGTCTATATTTAATCCAAAGATTAATATTTAATTTAAGAGATTTAAAATTAATAGCAAAAGTTTATTTATTAAATCAGAAGATTTAAAAGAAATCTTTGCTCGTTCAATAGCCAAATATACACCACTCTGCGTTTCATTTCAAAGAAGAGTCAGGTTTAAAGAATTTAATACTAACAATTTAAAAGATAATTCATAAATGACAATTTATAAAACTTTGATATTAAAACTTGGTATTACAAGCAACCTGTGTTTGGATGAGAGCTAAAATGAAATGTGTGCTTGTGTGTTGGATGTGTGAATGTAATCTCAGAAGGTTTCTATCAGAGAGAGAAAATGCATTCTGGGTGAAAGAGTTGTTTTGCAGCTGAGCTAAGTTATTTCTTAAAGAAACAGACATACGAACGTAATCTGTCGGAAGTGTCTACCTCACCCAGTTAGGAGACCCCCTTCTTGGATCCGAGATGTCAGGAGGAGACGATGACCCCCCTAGCACGAGGTGGGTAGAAGAACCTTAGTGCAACCAAATCGGTCCTGAGATGTCTCCGGATCACAACGACTGATGAAACTGGTTGCGTCTCAAAAATCAATAACTGTGAAGGAGTTTTGCGTCAGCTGGTTGCGGATGGCGTTGTTGGAGCAATTCCGTCAGCGTGACAGAACAGCTTAGTAGAGGTCGAGCGGCCGACCCGATCCTCTGTGACTCTCATGCCACAGAGAGGTTTTTTGTGAGCTCAAGAAACTGAACTTGAACTGAGGAGTTTAGGTTTGAACAAAACTCAGGACACGCCCTCTCAGAGATAGCAAGCTTTGGTTATGGAGCAAAGACATGTGAGAGCAGTTACCTTTAACCCTGATGTCTGTCCTGCATGGTGTGTATAAGTGCACCTGACCTTCTGTTACTGATCAACATTACTGATTATCATAAATAATAATTATTATTAACCAAGGAATAATAATTCATTTCAGTAATTAAATACATTTATAATGAACCTGTGATGATTATTTATGAACCTTGTAATAAGACCGTGAAAAGAGTTTACTAAAAATGATTCTTTTAAATCTTGAAGTGTCCTTTGTCTTGCGGACGGAACAGCAGTCAGATTAAAGATGGTTTACAGCAGACTTTGTGTCTCCTGTGATGGATAATCTGTGAATAGAAGTACAGCCAGGACAGGTTGACCTAGCTGAGGAAGTGTGACCTTTGGGTCACAAATGAGGCCATTCATGTCGCTACACATGTTTGAGTGAAGGCTGTTCTCAACAACCACGCAGTCTTTAAACAGTGCCACTTTTGTGCTTCATTTTAAAAGGAGACGTTGACAGCAGAAATGAGACACTCACTTGTGTTTGTCCAGATTCAAGGCTGATTAAATTTCAATCCAAAGTGTAGTCAGTCAGGCAAACAAACATTTAGTACTCAGCAGCCCCTACTCCTCAGCTCTGCTCTCATCCACCAATGAAGCACTGTGTCATGATGACGTGTGATGCTCTTTGTTGGGCTGTCATCTTAGTGCTGCTTCTCAGAAGTCCATTGCTACAGTAAAATCATGGCTGAAAAGCTGCATTTAGTTTTTTTTTATATGTCCTTTTCTCCAGAATGCAGTTTCCTCCGAGTGGTTTATTGATTGGTGGGAACTTATTAAATGGCAGACTCTTTTTTTTTTAGATGCACTAAGCTACCCATAAGACAATCGTTATGCAAGTGTTTCTCTTTTCATGTTTCTTTTATCCTCGTGTAGTGCATTTTGCCGTTGTTCATGTAATTTTTTTACAAGTAATAATACAACTAAAACACATCCTAGCTAGCTAAACATAACATTCAATAACTGTGCGGAATGTTTTAGGATTATGGTTGTTTTTACTTTTAGTTGCTGACTTGCTTTAAAACATAGGCTGCAATGTATTTTAAATGTATTTGTTGCTTGTTCTAGTTATAAGAGCATCCAGGTGTTTATTGTGATCTGCCCAAGTGCAAGCTCTACAAGCTTTCACCATTGATTTATTATTCCTTTATGAAATTGAAAGGATTTCAGCACATTAGGTTTGATGTTATATTGTTAACCTTATCAGCAACGGTCACTGAACATTATATTTGTTTTTATGTCGGTAGCCCCACCGTCGGCAGCGTACGTTGCTTTCATTGCTAATTCTGTGAACAGCATCTGGTGGGTTGGTTGCTCTTTAAGAGATGTGCATGATATCTCTACTCCGCACTGGCAGCTTACGCCAACATATAAAAAGCTGTTTCATCTTGTGCTTATTCTGAAATCTCGTATGAAGTCAACAGATGCTGCAGAAAGTCTTTAGTCGATCAAATTTTAGATTCAGAATCAGGCCATATACTCGTGCATTAAGTATAATGCTTTACTTATGCAAACTGCTAGAAATGTAAAATGTGCACAGCACAATGCTTTAGATATCCCCTCTCTCAAAGTCACGCACAGTTTGAGCAAATGCTTTTCTTTCACCATTTAGCATAATGTCATGTATTAAACCTTGCATTAATAGCTTCTAGAAATCAAATTCAACAATTTCTAATATTGTTGAGTTTATTTTATTTAGGGATCGACATTATATTGGCATCAAAATCAGTGATGGCATGTTGGTCATTTTTTTACTGTATCGGAGTCGGTTTGATAAATGAAACCGGGCCGATATTAACAACTGATATTTTTTTTTCCATCTCGTCTCCATTTGTTTGCCTGTTTCAGAGGGTGAGGGGGGTGATGTGTAATTGTTTAGTCATGTGAACAGTGAATGAAATCATCTCTGAACTGTAAATGTGTGTGTTGTGTGAACATAATAACGTAAATTCAGCTTTAATCATTGTCATTCTATGCTAAATCTGCTGATTTTAGAAGCATTAATGTCAGTATATCAGTACTGGCAAATATATGTTATTGGCCATAGCAGTGATCTTAATATCTGATATCGGTATCAGCCCAAATATTTCATATTGGTGCATCACAAATTTTATTTTTATGACTTTAAAGGCATACAATGCAAATTTTTAAATACTTTAGCCAGTACATGCAAAATGACCCTTACTGGGTTAATGAAATATCACTCAGACCCAACCCCCCCCCCCCACCCACCCACCCACCCACCCACCACCACCACCACCACCGTGGCCAGAATATCACACTTGCAACTTCAGAGGAGCAGGCTGCCCCTGTTGTACTTAAAGTAGAGCTTACATGCTTGCTCTGGAGTCTTCTTCCAGCTCATTTCCAGCATGTTTTAGATCAAGAACACAGCTTGATGTAATGATGAACCGCTCCTGTAGACGCTAATGAAGGCTGAGGAGACATTTCAGCTGTTAGATTAGGCGAGGAGAGGAGTTTCACTTTTGGTTTAGCTAACCTGACACTAAGGAGTGTTAAAAGCAAGCCCGAACGTCATTGTATCCCTTTAAAATGTCACAGATTATAACATTGAATTTTTTACATTTATTTCATTGCCTGAAAATAATATTTTACATTCCGTTTCCATTGCATGCAGACTGTTAACAAAACACATATTTGACAGCCTTTTCCCAAGTCCCAAACTAAATTCAGTAATAAAACTAGTTGATAAATAATGTTTGAAACTTGTTTGATGTGTTATTCCAAATAGTTCTTTGAATACCTAATGATTATTTATGAGCACAACTGGTGGATGAAAGTTGGGATTAATTAGTGAAAATAAAAGCATCTCCATCTGTGAGCTCATGGTGATAAAAACTCTGTTGTTTACTTCTGTTTGTTTTGTTTTGATGTTTATACTTTTAATGTTTGTTATTTCATCTCTCCTTTCCACATCTTTGCCAAAATGTATAATTTTTCATTATCTCCTCCCCCACCCCTCCCCCGTTTCATTGTTTCCAGAACGACATTGAAGCCAGGCCAAGGTAAGACTGACAGTATGATTCATACTCACCTTTTTATAGCAAAACTGTAGCTGTTACTGAAGACTCTTCAGGCAATTGGGCTCTTGATGAATCATCCTTGAGTGTGACTAGTATTGTTGTTGCATAATAAAACGCACAAAGGCCTGCCTTTTCTGTACTTTTTCCCGAAACATTTCCAGCTGCCAGTTCTTCCCTAAAACATCTGACAGTCTCACTGCAGGCACTTCAGCTCTGCCTTGCCTCTAAACTATTTTGATCACATGCAAGTCACATCGGTGCTGTAGAGGTGACAGAGTGGCTGATCCGATGAAAGCCCTGCAAACAGTGGCTGACAGGCTGAAAGTTCTAAATGCATGCCTGTGTCTTAGTTTACTTGCAGTTGTAATTTAAGATGAGGTCAAAGTGATATTGTCCTGTGTGGGACCTCTTTTCTATTCTGTTTTCTATAATCACAAGTGTTGTTCGATGATCCAGCAGGTGTATCAGAGAGATCTGATGGGTACAGGCCTATACTTTTCTGTAATTGCATCAAATTTCTTCTGCTTGTCTTGTATCTATTGATCTGTTTGAGTGAAAACTTCTCTGCTTTCTTCCAACACATCAGAAGTTTTTTAGCACCACCTTTCTGAATGGCTTTGTTCATACTGCAAGCAAAAGGACTTCTTTTGCAAATGAATCACCTAAGACTTTATGTGACATCACATGTAGCATGTGAACAATCGCAGAAGAATAAATGTATCTTCCTAATCGAGTTTTTATACCTATGTCTAGTGTGTAGGCTTCCATCCAAAAGTTAGAAGTACGAATGGATTCGGCCCTTAAATTTGATGTACAAATCAACCAAGTTGTGCTATTGTGGGTTGTTTTTTATATATTTGCATCGACTGACCAGACTTAAGCCCCTGTTGTCCAGAGTTCATCTAGAGTCTATCACCCATGCTTTTATTTTGCTTAGGCTTGACTACTGCAATGCATTGATTGCCCGTCTGAGTCAGGGCACGGTTGCACGCTTGCAGTTGGATCAAAGGTCCACTGCTAGGTTCGTGATGGGCACTAGGCACAGGGAAAATATCACTCATGTGCATCCCTTCACTGGCTCCCAGTGCAACAGAGGGCAAAATTGAAGGTCTTATGACTGACATACAAGGCCCTACAAGGAACAGCTCCAGCATACCTTGCCAGCCTCCTGCATAGACATGCCCCATTGTGGGCCCTTCGTACGGCCGAGCTGTTGGTGGTTCCTCACTCCAAGTGCAAGTCACGGTGGGACCATGCTTTTTCGGTGCTGGCTCCTACACTTTGGAACCAGTTTCCTTTTAAAGGTGCGTCAGTGACTTTCAGGGTTTCCCCCAGCTCTTTATAAGCCTGGCAGCCCACCAGGCTAAGCGTCATGCCCCGCCCCGCCGCCCTCCCCGACCCTACCGTGTCCGCTGACACGAACGGTGCACAGAGGAGCGCTGCTGGATGGAGCGTGCAACCCGACTCTGGATAAGCAGATGAAAATGGATGGATAGATGGATGGATGGACATCGGTTATTTGGTCATCGTTCCAGAATGCAAAACTTGATAGGATGATAATTTATCAATTGTACTTTAATGTTGAAGTTTTTTTTAAGTTCCTCTGCCATGCTGTTTTGAACCTGTTCCTACACTTCACTAAATCTGTTAAATGAGCAAGCTAGTGGCATCATGGTGAGCAGAGGGAAAAAAAGTCATTGTGTTCAATCACTTGTAATATAATTGCATATCAATCTGAGGATTCTTAACTGAAATTGAAATGGTGTAGTTACTGAATTTGAAATATAGGCAAACACTGAATTGCAGTTTGCTGTATTGATATATTGTCAGGGGTGGACCTTTAAAGCTCCCGAGCGCCAATGGCGCTAAATTTTCTCGTCGGGCGGTAAATACTCTACGACTCACCGCCCGGGTGGCGCCCAAGCCTTATTTGTCATTTACACACCGGCTTTCACCTACATCATGGCCGCGCCCTGTAGGAAGCCGCCGTTTTCGTTTCGCGCGCGCGTGAACCTGCGCGTCTCTAGCCACGTACTGCACTTGTACGATTCGTGCACGTACTGCACGATTCTAGTTATAGTCACGTGAACTATAAGTTCACTATTAAAGACGAAGTGGAACCATGCTAGAAACACACAAGCACGCAGGGAGATGCCGCCGCCACAGGGATGGGATTTCTTGATGAAATCTCCGGCAAAACGCTTTAAAACTGGTGAGGAGAAGCGAGACAGTTCGAAACGGTATGAAGCAGAGAAGCGTGTGCGTAGGTGAAATGATTCTTGGCAGTTTAAAGAAGATGGGAGGCACAGAGAATGGCCGTGTTCGAGTTGAGCAGCGCCTCGCCTGGAAAACAGACGAGAGCAGACGGAAGCAGCAGGGGGAGTGGCTAAAAGCCGGCGTTTAAGTCGGACAGATTTTTTTTTCTTCCCAAAACTTTATTGAACAAGGTGATAAGTATACAAATTGCATTCAAAATTGAACAAAGAAGATGAAACATATGCCAGGGGGTGCACTACAGAAATGTTACACACATCCAAATAAATTTTAGGTGGTGCAAATAGTTATAGTTTTTAAAGCTTTTTTGTTTAGTGATCCACTAATTAATTTTATGTCAGATAGAGTGTCACTATAATAGTGCTTGAAATTAGGTTTTTGGTTACTATACTTGCATTTGTGGAGATAGAATTTAGCTAGAATAATTAACAAATTTATAACAAGTATACATCTTCCTTTCTGTGCTTGCGAAAAAAAAACAAAATACAACATTTTCCGAAGTCGGACAGATTTCCCTACATGTGTAGCTCACGGGTGACGATGGCTGAAGATATCGTGTGAGCGTTCACACTTGTTCAATTTTCAATTTTAATTCTGCTGCCTGTTAGCAGCTGAAACACATCCTCACGTGCTTGTGGATATCATATATTGTATATGAAGACATGACTGTAATAACAAGTAAAGGTTATCAGCTGTAGGTTTAGTGTGCTCATAGGAAACGTGACAAAAGAACACAAAACACATTTCTCTTTATGACCTATATAGTTGTCATCATCAACATAACATGATTTACAGAATACATGTGACCAACTAACATTTCATGTTCTACCACCGGATGTTTGGATCAAAATATGAACCAATCAGATCTTAGATCAGGTGAGAGCCAGGCGTTTCCCGTCATCCTCTAGGTTTTGCAGCCGGTGGAGAGCAACTGCAGCGCCTTGCTCCAAAATCTGCGGCTGCCTTGATCTCACGAGGTTATCGTTGCCTACGCAGGTATGACGTCAGAGCAAGTCGGCGTCAAGTCGGACACAAATCTAACCGGCATGCACTGCTCGCCGATCACCGCTGGTCTAATCTGCGCAGAACTGGCTCATCTCGAACACAGCCAATGGCTCGAGTACAGCAAAGCGGAGTTGGTGATGTATGCCGGAAGTATGCGACGACAAAATCGAGTTTTGTTGAGGGAATAAACAAATTCAAACTTGAATACGTTATTATGTTTGTGAATGTGTACAAAACGAAGGTTTATTACATTTAAAACAGTTCAGTTGTTATTTTGACTCGTTTTGGCAGCTGACCAGGGGGGCCGGTAGATTCTTGGCGGGGCCGGTAAATATTCAGAGTTACCGGCCCGGCTGGCCGGTTGGTTTTGAAGTTAATGTCCACCCCTGATTGTTGTATTGTGATAAAACTAGTGATCAAAATCAATACCATTCATAACAAAATAAAAACATTAAACCAAAACCGAAAGGTGCTGCCAAAATAATAATTCATTAATTATTTAACTTTTCCCACTTGTATGCATAACAGTGACTCACTTAGTAAATGTTGGTAATCTCACCCTAAAAACTGAAAAGAACCTTAATTTCCACTAGACGTAAAATGAAGGTTGCATGAAATAGCCCCACATTCCAAATAATATGCTTTCATGGACAACAGTCTTGTCTTTGGCAAATTGAATTTTTGGTTTCACTTTGTAGGGTTGAGCTCCCTGCTCTTGAGAAACGTACGGCAGTTCTCATTCAGACTTTCATGTGCCTTGCTTTTAATAAGCAAGGAAAGTGAAGACCAGGGCTGCTGCACAGTGCCAACATGTAATATGTTATTGATTGGTCCGCCTGTGTTATGACCCCTAAGCACTGGAGCAGATGGCAGCCGTCTTCGGCCCATGGGTGTGATGCAGCTAATGGTTTGCCCTCTAGAAAAAGGTTGAATTCTTCATTTGTGGAAACATGCACTGATATTTATTTCACCAAAGTGTACCATATTACCTAAAACTGATTCTTGCTGCATCTACTGAAGTGAGTTTAAACAGAGAGAAATGCTCGGGAAAAGGGAAGGCCTGAAGAGGTAAGTCGAAGAAGAGAAACATGAAAGGGATATTCTGGGTGGCTTAATGTTTGTTGTGCTATAAAGATTCTGGTTTTCAGAATGTTTGAAGGTGAAGTAAACAAAGGGATGAAGCAAAATTGGCGTGGGGAGAAATAAACAGAAGGAAAAGAGAGATTTCGGAGAATCCAGCGACAAGTGGATGTTTAGGGTTGTGTGCAAAGGGATCCAGACAGCTAATTGATTATGGAGCAGAAACACTAATCCGCCGTCTGAGCCCCATATCGCTGCCATAGACCGAGCATCCCCAAAGGACGTCAAACCTGCACCCACATACATCTTCCGTGGACGTACTCGTCAATAAACACCCCTGCCTCTGCCCGAGCTCCTGAACATAGGTACCACATGCCGGGCCAAGATTAGTCTTTCTGTAAATCAAAATCCTTTTTCCACTCCTTCTCCATGCAACCATTTCTTAACTGAATACAATGTGATACATTGCAAATGACACTTCTTTTGCTTAGCTTCAATCTGCACAATTCCTTGCTACCACCCTTATCCCAAGGTTTAGGATTTTAGATATATTTGCGTTCACGTTAGTCTTGTTTGCGTACATCTTACAACACTTGTGTTTAGGATTTAGGACATTTCTGTGC